AGTAACAAAGACTAGAAGGGGGCTGGGTGCAGTGGCTCACACATGTAGTCCCAGCATTTTGGCAGGCTGAGGTGGGTGGATCACCTGAGGTCAGGAGTTCCACACCAGCCTAACCAACATGGTGAAACCCCATCTCTACAAAAATTAGCTGGGCATGGTAGCACGTGTCTGTAATCCCAGCTACTCAGAAGACTGAGGCAGGAGAAGTGCTTGAACCTGGAAGGCGGAGGTTGTGGTGAACCAAAATCAAGCCACTGCACTCCAGTCTGGGCAACAGAGCAAGACTCTGTCTCAAAAAAATAAAATAAAATAAAGAAAAAAGAAAAATTTGCACTGAGACAAAGGATCTTTTAACATTTATTTCCAACACAGGCACAGTTGGAAAACCCAAAAGCCATTCTCAACCTCCTCAGCATAGATAGTGCCCACTCTGGACTTTAGAAAGCCAGACAGCTGTTGGTTATTGCAATCATGAAAGTAACACAATAAAATGTCAGCATGCACCGGACGTGGTGGCTCATGCCTGGAATCCCAGCACTTTGGGAGGCCAAGGTGGGTGGATCACCTGAGACTGGGAGTTCAAGACCAGCCTGGCCAACATGGAGAAATCCCATCTCTACTAAAAATACAAAATTAGCAAAGCGTGGTGGCGCATGCCTGTAATCCCAGCTACTCAGGAGGCTGAGACAGGAGAATCACTTGAACCTGGGAGGTGGAGGTTGTGGGGAGCTGAGATAGCACCACTGCACTCCAGCCTGGGCGACAAGAGTGAAACTCCATCTCACCAAAAGAAAGAAAAAAGTCAACATGCTGATGGTGGAATGGAAAACTAAGGAAAACCTGGATTCTTCATTTAGACCTTTTACAATACCGGTAAGCATAGAACCAGCAAAACCAGCAATCTCAGCAACACCTAACTCTGGACTTCTCTTCTTGCAAGGAAAATCATTCCCTATTTAATTAAGCCAGTGGATCTAAGGTACTTGCATCCAAAAATGTTACTAACTGGAATCTTTATGGGGTGGGATAATGGGAAAGTTTGGTTTTATTTGTTTTCAATGCTTAAAACTGTTTTCTAAAATGTTCTATACCTATACTGTCTTCTTTATTAAAAATAAACTGTATTATGTTAAAAAAAAAAACTTACTGCCAAGAGAATATGTCATCCATGATTTGGACAATTTTTCCAGTAGGTTATTCTTGTGGCTCATTCTGAAACCACCGAACTTGACCTCTGTGACATTCAGTTAACTCATAATGAAAATAGACCGATGATATCTCCCTCACTGGACTTTTGCGAGACTTAACACTGAGATCTTGCTATGCTCTAGGCACACTTCCAACCTTGTTGCATACTAGTTCATCTAATATTTAGTATAATTGCCAGGTGGGGTGGCTCACGCCTGTAATCCCAACACTTTGGGAGGCTGAGGCGGGAGGATCACCCAAGGTCAGGAGTTCAACACCAGCCTGACCAACATGGAGAAACCCCATCTCTACTAAAAATACAAAATTAGCTGGATGTGGTGGCACATACTTGAACCCAGGAGGAGGAGGTTGCAGTGAACTGAGATTGCACCATTGCACTCTAGCCTCGAGCAAAACTCTGTCTCAACAAGAGCAAAACTCTGTCTCAAAAAAAAATTTAGTATAACCTTCCAAGGTAAGGATTACCATTATCCCATTTTATCAGTGAGGAAACTAAGCTATTGAATTACTATTTACTCAGGAAATATTAACCAAGAACTTACTGTATGCTAGATAGTATTGTTAGGGGCATGGAAAACATTGTTGAAAAAAATAAGACATTCTAGTGGGAAAACAACTTCCCCTCCATTTGCATATTCATTTTAATATTTCAATATTCCTGAAAACCTACATGTTATCCATAATATATAAAATTTTTATAATACATAAAATTTTTCTTTATAGAGATATATATGCGAAGATATTTATATTTATTTGAGATGGAATTTTGCTCTTTTTTTTTGTTTTATGAGTGTGTATTAGCCAATTATTATGAGAGTGTAGCCAATTAGCATGCCAAGCTTTCATCACAAGTGATTCATTTGATTTCTTTTATATCACACTTTCTGTCATAAATCTGCTCTTATGTACTAATGAGTTTTGCTCTTTTGGCCCAGGCTGGAGTACAATGGTGCAACCTCTGCTCACTGCAACCTCCGCCTCTCAGGTTCAAGAGATTCTCCTGCCTCAGCCTCCTGTGTAGCTGGAATTATAGGCACCTGCCACCATGCCTGGCTAGTTCTGTATTTTCAGTAGAGATGGGGGTTTCCCCATGTTGGCCAAGCTGGTCTAGAACTGTTGACCTCAGGTAATCCACCTGCCACGGCCTCCAAAAGTGCTGGAATTGCAGGTGTGGGCCACTGCACCTGGCCAATAGCTATAATTAAACTTACATCTTACATTTATATGTATATAGAATTTATATATCTATAAATTATAAATTATACACATAAATTTATATGTATAAATTTATTCTATATTCTACATATAGTTGTATATTCTATATACATATAATGTAGAATTTATATACATATAAATGTATAAATACATATACATATAAATGGTTGCAGTGAGCCGAAGTTGCACCATTTCATTCTAGCCTGGGAGACAAGAGTGAGACTCCATCTCAAAAAAAAAAAAAAAAAATCTATACCATAAACTTATTCTACAAGTTTATGTATATATGTATGTAAATTCCATATTATATGTATACCATATTATATATTATTGTGTATATAATAAATGTAGATTTATTTTATAAACATATAAAATATTTATTTTTAACACATTATATAATTCATATACAAATCTATATGTGTTTAAGTCTTTTGTTATATACATGTCTTATTTTTTTTCTTTCTTTTTCAAGGTGCTGTTAAATATATGTATTATTTATTCTTGCAATTTTATTTAGATAGATGATAGATATTTAGATAGATAATGTGTGTGTCTGCTAATATATACATATAACTCCCCAGTCTTTAACTGCATACTTTACTCATGAGCTACCTAGGGTGGGCACCCTCAGCTCCCATTTAGTACCCAACTCATGGCAGAGTTGAGTGTCAGTTGGTGGCTGGCACCTCCCCTGACCAGTGCCCACAGGGAGCATGCAGTCTCTCACTGTCTTGGAAGTGAACGGCATGGAGGAGAGCAAGATCCTTGAGGTCTGGGACTCGGAGCTGGGCTTGGTCTTCCCAGTGATCCACCTCTTGTATTCCTCTCGTACCTGGAGAAGGAGACACACCCCCGTGCAGAGAAATGGTCCAGGGACTGGGATGTTGGGTGGAGGGATGGGGGGATGGGGAAGGCAGCAGCCACACACCTGGCGGTTGAGCAGACAGTGAATGAGGAAGATGAAGGCCCCCTGCAGGCTGTTGATGATGGTGAACAGGTAGGCCATGACACCTGCCGCAGGTCCAAACTGAAAAATGCCCAGCACCCAGGAGCAGCCCAGGATGAAGAGCTGGGCAAATGCCTTGAAGGTCAGCAATCTAGGGAGAAGATGTGTAGAGTGTAAGGCTCTGGGAGGTGGCTAGTGTCTTCGTAGGCTGTTGGGAACACATGCTTGGTGCTGCAAGGAAGAATCAGCACTGAGATGGCCAGGTGTGGTAGCTCACACCCGTGAATCCCAGCACTTTGGGAGGCTGAGGCCGGTGGATCCACAAGGTCGTGAGTTCAAGACCAGCCTGGCCAAGACAGTGAAATCTCATCTCTATTAAAAAATACTAGCCAGGTGTGGTGGCAGGTGCCTATAATCCCAGCTACTCGGGAGGGTGAAGCAGGAGAATCACTTGAACCTGGGAGTTGAAGGTTGCAGTAAGCTGAGATTGTGCCATTATACTCCAGTCTGGGTGACAAGAGCAAAACTCCATCTCAAAAAAAAAATGCTATCAGCTTCCAATATACATGGATACTGTGCACACATGAATTCAGTGATTTTTTTTTTTTTTTTGAAAGACAGTCTCACTCTGTCACGAGGCTGGAGTACAGTGGTGCGATCTTGATTCACTGCAACCTCCACCTCCTGGGTTCAAGAGATTCTCCCGCTTCAGCCTCCTGAGTAGCTGGGATTACAGGTGTCCACCACAATGCCCAGCTAATTTTTGTATTTTTAGTAGAGATCTGGTTCCACCATGTTGGCCAGGATGGTCTCGATCTCTTGACTTTGTAATCTGCCCGCCTCCGGCTCCCAAAGCGGTGAGATTACAGGTGTTAGCCAATGGTGTAATCTTCTAAACAGACCTCACCATCTCTGTCTTGGGCATGGGACCCAATACACAAAAAGTGCTCAAAGGACTTTTCTGAGAAGAAGGAAAAGGAATTTAAAAGAGGAGGGGAGAGGAAAAAGGGCTGCACCTGGTGTCTTTGAGTGTTGAGACTTCGGCATTGACGCTGGAAAGCCTCTGCCTCAGGATCCACAAGGTCCAGGTCAAGAGGATGGAATTGATCTGCAAAGTCAAGCAGCAAGATGGAGAGACTGGATATACAAATGGGCAACGACCAGAACAACTATAAAAGGAGAACTCTGGGCTGGGTGCGGTGGCTCCTGCCTGTAATCCCAGCACTTTGGGAGGCTGAGGCAGGTGGATCACTTGAAGTCAAGAGTTTGACACCTGGCCAACATGGTGAAACCCTGTCTCTACTAAAAATACAAAAATTATCTGGGCATGGTGGCAGGTGCCTACAATCCCAGCTACTCAGGAGGCTGAGGCAGGAGAAATGCTTGAACCTGGGAGACAGAGGTTGCAGTGAGCCAAGATCACGCCACTGCACTCCAGCCTGGGCGACACAGTGAGACTTTGTCTCAAAAAAAAAAAAAAAAAAAAAGAGAACTCTGACCCACAGTCTATGGCAACCAATCTAGAAAGCTAAACAATGACCCCTGCAGCAATTAAACAAGACAACCAGGACTTGGTTAATAACTCCCGACTTTTTTGTTCCTGCTTCCAACTTAGGATCTTTCCTAATTTTTCTCCCTACTTCCAACTTAACAACCAACATGTAAAAGCCAATACACATCCCTAATCAATCACATGGGATACCCCACTCCTAGTTAGCCAGGTACTGCTTGTCCATCCATGCATCAGCCTCCCATCAGGTCACACCTGTAGTCTTCTCTTTTTTCCTCTACAAACCTTCCTCACTTCTCTGCTTGCCTTTGAGTCTGAGCCAATGCAAGTGATGGCAGCTGACTCCCACACTGCTGGACTACAGCAGTCTCTGAATAAACAGCCTTTGCTTGTTCTCAATGGGGCATCTCTGTTTATTTTCCCAAGGTGCATCCAATACATTAGGACGTAGACTGTGACCTTGAACGGAGAGTTTTTTATCTTCTAAAACCCTCAAAAGCATCTCTGACTGAGATCTACATACTCCCAGGGCAGGGTCTTCTCACCTGGGCAATACTGGCGTGTGGTCAGACCATTCTTGGTGTGTGGGGGCAGCGGGGGGAAGCGGCTGCTGTGTGCACGGTCAAAGCAGCATCCCTAGCTTCTGCACACTAAATGCTAGTAGAACCCACCTTTTCTAGTTGTAACAACCAAAAATGTCTTCAAACTTTACCAACTTCCCCTGAGAGGGAAAACAGTACCAGTAGAGAACTACTGCCCCTGGGGAGTTGTTTTTTTCCAGATCAGTAAAACTTCCAAGAAAGCCCAATGTCCTTGAAGATTTGGGAATGGGTAAGATAAACATTGGTGATGATGATGATGATGATTGTTATTACTGAGACAGAGTCTTGCTTTTGTCTCCCAGGCTGGAGTGTAATGGTGCGAACCTGGCTCACCACAACCTCTGCCTCCCAGGTTCAAGTGATTCTCCGGCCTCAGACTCCCATGTAGCTGGGATTACAGGCATGTGCCACCACGCCTGGCTAATCTTGTATTTTAAGTAGAGATGGGGCTTTTTCCATGTTGATCAGGCTAGTCTCAAACTCCAGACCTCAGGTGATCTGCCTGCCTCGGCCTTCCAAAGTGCTGGAATAACAGGCGTGAGCCACCATGCCACTTTTTTTTTTTTTTTTTTTTTTTTTTTTTTTTGAGCTGGAGTCTCACTCTGTCACCCAGGCTGGAACGCAATGGTGAAAATTTGGCTCACTGCAACCTCCGTGCCTCCTGGGTTCAAGCTATTCTCCTGCCTCAGCCTCCTGAGTAGCTGGGATTACAGGTGGTCACCACCACGCCTGGCTAATTTTTTATATTTTTAGTAAAGACGGGGTTTTGCCAAGGTGGCTGGGCTGGTCTTGAACTCCTGACCTCAGGTGATCCACCCACCTCAGCCTCCCAAATTGCTGGGGATTCCAGGCATGAGCTACTGTGCCTGGACTAGAAAGGAGAACTCTTGAGTGGAATAGTGACCCTCTCAGTTACACATGTTCCTGGAAATTCCCGATCCCATAGTCTCCTTTTTCCTCCTCCAGAACACGTTTCACCAGGCTGTTGTAGTATTTGCTTACCATTATGACTGTGCAAACTGGCCCCAAGAAACTCCAGATGAACCCCGCCTCTGTATTCAGCCAGCAGCTATGGGGAGAAATAGGAGGAGTCAGTGCTCCTCTCAGAGTCCTGACCTGACAGTTGACCCTGCCCCAACAAACGCCCTCGTGGAGGAGAATGTTGGGAGGTGAGACTCGGAGCATGTTCAGGATGGTTCCGGTTGCAGTTCAGTTTCCTTCAGACCTCAGTGCTTCCTCTTTTAGACCTTCTTCCTGTGCAAATGTACCTTTGGCATAGAAATGTACCTGGGAAATGCTTACCCAGTGCCCAAGGTTGAGCTCATTTCTCAGTTCACTACTTTGTAATCCCTGTTAGGACCAACCGGTAGAAGCCACTATGCACCCCTAACCAATCACATAGAATACCCCCCTCCTAGTTAGCCACCTACAGCTTGCCCACCCATGCAACAGCCTCCAATCAGGTCATACCTGTAGCCTTCTCTTTTCTCCTCTACAAAGCATCTATCCAAACTCTCCACCGGTACACCTTGTCATTTAAACCTCAGCTCAGGCCTGGCATGAGGACTCACACCTGTAATCCCAGCACTTTGGGAGGCCAAAGCTGGTGGATCACCTGAGGTCAGGAGTTCGAGACCTGCCTGGCCAAGATGGCAAAATCCCGTATCTACTAAAAATACAACAAATAGCCAGGTGTGGTGGCAGATGCCTGCAACCCCAGCTACTTGGGAGGCTGAGGCAGGAAAATTGCTTGAAGCCGGGAGGGAGAGGTTGCAGTGAGCTGAGATTGTGCCATTGCACTCCAGCCTGGGTGACAAGAGCAAAACTCTGCCTCAAAAATAAATAAATAAATAAATAAATAAATCTCAGTTCAAATGTTACCTCCTCTGAGAAGCCACTCCTGACCGTCCTTAGATAAGGCATCCTATCTCTACTCCTGGCATCCATCTAGCAGAGTTCACTGCTTTTTTTTTTTTTTTTTTTTTTTTTTTTGGGACGGAGTTTCGCTCTCGTTACCCAGGCTGGAGTGCAATGGCGCAATCTCGGCTCACTGCAACCTCCGCCTCCTGGGTTCAGGCAATTCTCCTGCCTCAGCCTCCTGAGTAGCTGGGATTACAGGCACGCACCACCATGCCCAGCTAATTTTTTTGTATTTTTAGTAGAGACGGGGTTTCACCATGTTGACCAGGATAGTCTCGATCTCTTGACCTCATGATCCACCCGCCTCGGCCTCCCAAAGAGCTGGGATTACAGGCGTGAGCCACCGCGCCCGGCCACCGCATTTTTAAAATAGCACCTCTCACTATCATAAGTCACCTTGTTTAATTGCTTGCTAGACTAGAGATGCATGAGAATTTGGGCCTTGAGTGTTTGTTCATCTCTGAACACTCAGCACCCAGTGTAAAGCCTAGCATAGGCAAGACATTTCATAATTGTTTATTTAAAGGAAGGAAGGAAGGGAGGGAGGGAGAAAGGGAGGAAGAGAGGGACGGAGGGAGGGATGAGGGAAAGGAGGGAGGGAGGAAGGAGGGGAGTGAGGAAGGGAGGAATGAATGGAGGAGGGAGTGAGGGCAGGAGAAAAAAGGGATTGCCTCTTTCTATTATGTCTCTAGTGTACATTAGCTGCTTTTACACGACAACCATTCTGCCATGTTCAATAACAGCACCCCAATATTCCCTTAGCAAAAGTATTCCTCTCCCACCTTCACTCCCACCCCCCATGTCATATACACAAGGAAAGGAAAATAATCAAGTTAGGTCAACCAGATGTTCTCTCCCTGGGACATAAGTCTCAAATAGTAGTGACCCTGAATTTGTGCAGTGCACAACCTGTGCTGCTGTACATGGTGGTCCTGAAACCAACAGTACATAAAGTAAGAGTTCAATAAACGGTAGCCACAACAACTGTTACCATTGTTACTCTTCTTGTTGCTCATGTCATGATCACCATGAGCCCTGGCAGCAGGGTCTTCAGGAAGAGAGAGGATGCCACTCACCGATTATACATTCCATAGCCTTGTGGCTGCACACTGGCAGAGATCACCACCACCAGCCCCGGCAGCCCATAACCAAAGACACAGAGGTACGGCATCTTGATGTTGCGAGAGCTGAAGTAATTCACCACCTTCAGGTTTCTGACCATCAGGAAGAGCATCACAGCTTCTACCAGCATCCAGAAGAAGCAAGCAAGGAAAAGGTAGTGCAGGAAGCCTGCAATGATGGCGCAGCCCATCTGGAGGGGAGAAGCATGCACATTAGGATCCTTCACGCCAGAGAGAATTTGAGCGGGAGAAAGGAAGAGAGAGACTCCTTGGATGGAAGTTCCCAAAACCTAGTTCATTCATTCATCTCACAAACATGTATAGAGATTCTCAGTGGTTCTGGACCAGAGCCAGCACCATCTCTTGGTAAGGGGGACTCATCATCCTGGTTTGTCTGGAACTGAGATTTCTCAAGATACATGACTTCCAGTTCTAAAACAGGAAGAGTTTCAGGAAAACTGATCGTGGATCACCCTACTTTAGGGAATGGTTGAAAGTAGTGCGGGGCTCAGCAAACTGAGCCTTCCTTGTAAATAAAGTTTTATTGGCTGGGTGTGGTGGCTCACGCTTGTAATCCCAGCACTTTGGAAGGCCGAGGCAGGCAGATTGCTTGAGCCCAGGTGTTTGAGACCAGCCTGGGTAACATGGCGAACCCCCCCCCCAATACAAAAATGCAAACATTAGCCAGTCATGGTGGCACATGCCTGTGGTCCCAGCTACTTGGGAGGCAGAAGCAGGAGGATCACTTGAGCCCAGGAGGCTGTAATAAGCTGTGATTCAGCCACTGCACTCCAGCCTGGGTGACAGAGCAAGACCCAAAAAAAAGAAAGGAAGAGAAGGGAAGGGGAAGGGAGGGGAGGGGAGGGGAGGGAAGGGGAAGGGAAGGGAGGGGAGGGGAGGGGAGGGGAGGGGAGAGGAAGGGAGGGAAGGGGAGGGGAGGGGAGGGGTGAGGAAGGGAAGGGAAAGGGAAGGAAAGGAAGGAAAACGGACGAGAAGTAGAGATTCTAAGCTGTAGCATTATTGACATTTGTGACATTATCTTGGGATCATTCTCTGTCATGGGGGTGGGGCTGTCTTGTGCTCTGCAAGATATTTAGCACCATCTCTAACCTTTACCCACTAGATGCCCGTAGCACGCTCCTCCAGTTGTGACAACCAAAATGTCTCTAGACATTGCCAAGTCTCCCCTGGGGGGAATAGCATCCAGGAGAGAACCTCTGGTTTAGAAAGTAATAGGAGGGGCCAGGCGTGGTGGGTCATGCCAGTAATCCCAGCACTTTGGGAGGCCAAGTCCAGTGGATCACCTGAGGTCAGGAGTTTGAGACCAGCCTGGCCAACATGGTGAAAGCCCATCTCTACTAAAAATACAAAAAAAAAAAAATTAGTGGGGCGTGATGGCTCATGTCTGTAGTCCCAGCGACTTGGGAGACTGAGGCAGAAGAATTGCATGAACCCAGGAGGCGGAGGTTGCAGTAAGCTGAGATTGTGCCATTGCACTCCAGCCTGGGCAATAAGAGTGAAACTCTGTCTCAAAAATAGAAACAGAAACAAAACAAAACAAACAAAAAACAAGTAACAGGAGGAACCACTACAATTCATTACAAGATCAGGGATGTAATTTAAACTGAGAGCTGTCACAAGGAGTCAAGCAGATGAGAAGCTGGAAGTAAGTGTAACAGGCAGAGGGCACAGCATATGTAAAGGCCCTGAGGTAGAAGCAGGCATAGAGGGAGTTGGGTAGGAATGAGCTGAGGCAGATGGGGAGAAGATGGGGCTCGGTGAGGACACAGCCCGGGCAATGTAGACCTGGTTGTCAGTCTTGTCTATACCGGCGAGGAAGAGAGTCTTGGCCAAGAGGAGGCACACACAGAGGTGCAGGTGGAGGTAGGTGTTGTGATTTCGGATGGAGCGACACAGCAGAAAGGTGGCGATGGCCAAGATGAGGCACACCAAGGAGATGATGATGCCCACATGGCTAATGACGTACAAGGAGAACTCCATCTGTCAGGAAGGAATTCCATAGTTAGGATCTGAGAATAAGATCAAAATCCCCCCAGAGGTGGGGAAAAGAGTTATCCAAAACGCTCGCTCAGGCAAAATTAGCTTGGAGGCCTTTTCTCCCTCTAACACTCAGAGTGAACTAGATCTTGTCCTTCATTATCCTTTGCAATCCACTGGCATCCACCAACACCTGTTCCCAGCTGTGTCCTATGCACGACTCCATGTTTTACTGGGGCTGGATGTCCACAAACTACATCTCCCAGAATCCTTTGGAACTAAGGTCCTGCATATAATCTAGGTTCTCCAGTGAGATAGATCTGTGGAAGTTTTGGAATGCAGAAGGGAGGCAAGTATCAGCTTTCTGCAGACAGGAGTGAGCTGTGGCTTAATTCCACATTTCGACTGTCCAGGCCCCAGTTTCATGGTGGAGTGGGATGGCAAAATGACAGCAGCAATTTCTGAGTTACAGCTGCATTGGGGGATGACCTTGAAGCCAAAATCCAAGCGGCAGCCCCCTGACTTCAACTCCTCCATCCTCTCCCAGAGATTTTTGTGAGCACCCAATTCCCTGTGTTAAATCCATTTCTGCTTGAAATACCTGGAGTGGTTTTGCTTCCTGTGTTGAATCTCAACTGATAATGCAGACATTCAAGAATGCTCCATCTTTGGGAGTGGAACATGACACACTAAGTTCTTCTTCCATGCCATTTATTCATAATTAATTTTGAAATGAATTTTACATGTATCTGAGGGCTTTCTGTGGGTGAAACATACACTAGGCACCATCTTCTGAGTACCTCTCTATGATACTATCACAAAGTGGTTAAGAAAACTGACCATTGGCTGGGCACGATGGCTCATGTCTGTAATCCCAGCACTTTGGGAGGCCGAAGTGTGTGAAACACCTGAGGTCAGGAGTTCAAGAGCAGCCTGGCCAACATGGTAAAACTTCATCTCTACTAAAAATGAAAAAATAAAAAATAAATAAAGCTGGGCATGGTGATGGGCCCCTGTAATCCCAGCTACTTGGGAGGCAGAGGCAGGAGAACCACTTGAACTTGAGAGGCAGAGGTTGCAGTGAGCCAAGATCAAGATCATGCCATTGCACTCCAGCCTGGAGGACAAGAGTGAAACTCAGTTTCAAAAAAAGAAAAAGAAGAGAAAAGAAGAAGGGAAGAAAGAAAGAAAGAAAGAAAGAAAGAAAGAAAGAAAGAAAGAAAGAAAGAAAGAAAGAAAGAAAGAAAGAAAGAAAGAAAGAAAGAAAGAAGGAAGGAAAGAAAGAAAGAAAGAAAGAAAGAAAACTGACCAATTTCTAGTTGTGTGAATTTGGACAAGACACTTAACTGCTCTGTGCCTCAGTTACCCCATCTGTTAAAAAGAGAATATTAATGGTAACTGCCTTAGAGGGTTGTTTTAGGAGGATTAAATGAAAACATTTAAAGTACAACTGTGCCAGAAACGAACCATATAAATGTTAGTTATTGTCATTATTTTTTGTTGTTCTCATTTTTGAGATGACAGAGCTGGGCTCAGCACAGAAATGTTAAGTGATTTTTCCAAGAAAGCTAGAAAGCGGTAGAGATGGGACTTAAAACTAGTGAGTTTGGCTCTGTATCCAGTTCTCTTAAATCCTAAGCCAAGTGGTCCTCAAAATGCCACATGAGGCCTTCCTGGTAGGGAATTAAACCCTGGGTCTATCATGATAGGAAAGGATACTTTCTACAACACTAATGAGGATGTCCTTCCTCTTTGCCAAATTGACTCATTCACCAAGGCTTATTTCATATTCTATTTCCCCCTGATCTATCATCAGCTCTCTTGGAAACACCTCTTAATTCTTACAGCATTACTTCCTGATCCATTTGCGTGGTTTAGTGGAAATGGATCCACTAAAGTTGTTTTAGGAGGATTAAATGAAAACATTTAAAATACAACTTTGGAACCAGACTTCCCCAGATTTCAATTCCACCTCTACCAATTTCTAGCTTCATGACTAGACAGGCCACTGACCCCTTGGTCTCCCATCCTGTGAAATGGGTCTAAAACCACTTAAAGAGTCCAGCACACTGTAGGTGCTCATTAAGTAAGATCTGTGAGGGCCAGGTGTGGTGGCTCATGCCTGTAATCCCAGCACTTTGGGAGGCTGAGGTGGGTGAATCACCAGAGGTCAGGAGTTTGAGACCAGCCTGGTCAACCTGGTGAAACTCTGTCTCTACTAAAAATACAAAAATTAGTCGGGTGTGGTGGTGGGGGCCCATAATCTCAGCTACTCAGGAGGCTGAGGCAGGAGAATCACTTGAACCTGGGAGGTGGAGGTTGCAGTGAACCAAGATCGTGCCATTGTATTCCAGCCTGGGCAGCAGCAGAGCAAGACTCTGTCTCAAAAAAAAAAAAAAAAAAAAAAAGTAAGACCTGTGATTGCTATAGTGCCTGGCCCTATTTAGCGTTATTATTTCTCATTTTATATTTGAGTTTCGAGGCTTCCCAATCAAACTGTAAATTCCGCAGAGGCAAAAGTGTATCACCTAACCTTTCTGTCCCCATGACTCCGTCAACACCCAGCCCCATGGGAGACACACAACAGATGTATAATCAGTATTTTCACATTGGATTTGGAGGCAGATATTCTGCCTCAGGGAACAAATCCTCATTACTGACCGTGAGCTCCCCAGACGCCATGATAACGGCAAGATTTGCCAAGTGATTGCAGCTGCAGATGGTATGCACCTCAGAAGCTTCCAGGACCACACAGCCAGAGGGTGTCCATCTCCCACCCTCCACATCTGTCCTCCAGGAAACGCAAATGGGCCTCTCAAACTTTTGCTTTGGCTGAAAAAAAAAAAAAAAAAGGCCCAGGTCACCTGTGAATCCCCCTCAAATGGATTAAATGTGACCATCCTCAAGAGTCACTAGGGACGAGAATACACAGGGTATGTTCTGAGGGAATGGGACAAAAAATATTTCATTATGCAATGAGTGCAAGTCTGATGGGGCAGTTTACATTCCTGTTGCTAGAAGAAAACTCCTTTCATCAAATCCATAATAAGGCCTTCTGCAAAGTCATTCATTTATTCACCTGTTCATTCAACGTGTGGGGTGTGTGTGTATGTGTGTGCGTGTGTGTGTGTGTGTGTGTGTGTGTGACAGAGTCTCGCTCTGTCGCCCAGGCTGGAGTGCCGTGGTGCAGTCTCCGCTTACTACAACTTCTGCCTCCCAGGTTCAAGCAATTCTTCTGCCTCAGCCTCCTGAGTAGCTGGGGTTACAAGTGCCTACCACCATGCTTGGCTAACTTTTGAATATTTAGTAGAGATGGGGTTTCCCCATGTTGGCCAGACCAGTTTTGAACGCCTAACATCAAGTGATCCACCTGCCTCAGCCTTCCAAAATTCCCGGATTACAGGCATGCATCACCACACCCAGGTAATTTTTGTATTTTTAGTAGAGACAGGGTTTCTCTATGTTGGCCAGGCTGGTCTCGAACTCCTGACCTCAAGTGATCCGCCCACCTAGGCCTCCCAAAGTGCTGGGATTACAGGCATGAGCCACCATGCCCAGCCTTGTTCAATGCATTTTTATTGAATACCTATTGCATGCCTTGATCTGTACTGATTATGGGAGACATTAGTGAATAAAATAGACATAAAATTCTTCCCCCAAGGAGATCATAGTACAGTGGGAAGAAAAACATATAAAAACCAAGTAAGCAGAGAAATATTTTTAATAACAGTTTAAGAACAACAATATGCTTTAAGAATGTATACTAGAGGCTGGGTGTGGTGACTCATGCCTGTCATCCCAGCACTTTGGGAGGCCGAGGCAGCCAGATCACCTGAGGTCGGGAGTTCGAGACCAGCCTGGCCAACAAGGTGAAACCCCATCTCTACTAAAAATACAAACATTAGTTGGGCATGGTGGTGGGCACCTGTAGTCCCATCTACTCAGGAGGCTGAGGCAGGAGAATCGCTTCAACCAGAGAGGCAGAAATTACAGTGAATCCAGATTATACCATTGCACTCACTCCAACCTGGGCAATAAGAGTGAAACTCCATCTTAGAAGAAGAAGGAGGAGGATGAAGAGGAGGAGAAGGAGGAGGAGGAGGAGGAGGAGGAGGAGGAGGAGGAAGAGGAGGGGGAAGAGGAGGAGCGAACACTACATAGCAGGATCCAGGATCCAATCAGATCGAGCCCTGGCATTACCCCATGGCAGGATCCAATCGGATCACACCTCCCACCATCACGTCATTGCAAGATGCAATCAGATCACAGCTCATGACCCACTGACTATAAAACCTGCCCCAGTTCCCCAGCTTGGGGAAATAGATTTGAGCCAGACTCCTGTCTCTTTGCTTGGCAGCCTTGCAATAAACTTATCTCTCTACAAAAACCAGGTCCTTCAGTACAAAATGGACTAGTTCTGTTTGATAACAGTGGGAGAGGTTTTTCCTCTAGAGGTGACTTCTGTTAATTGGCTTGAATTGCTAGACATGGTGGAAGCTTACTGCCTCAATAGCGTTCCATAGAAAAATGAGAGTTAAGGCAGTTGAGAGATGAGGAGTTCCCAGCAGGTAGACGGGAATCCTAGTAGACCTCTTCACAAACCTGAATGTTCTCCAGCGTGTAGATGACTGGATCTGAGAAGCCATCTTTCTTCTCCCCAGTCATGATGCCCCCGACAACTCGAGAATTCATCTTCAGCTTCACCTCAGAGTTGGCCAAGGGAGTCTGGGGGTTGTGGAAGAAGCGCTCGTCTAAAACAGACTCCATGCCCACAAAGGAGACAAAAGCCACGCCAGTGGTCCCTGCAGGTTTCCCCAAATGAAAAACGGGGGGAAATCGTTTGCTTGTTATTATGGAAGACTTCACACACACACACACACACACACACACACACACACACAGAGAAAATATATTTTTAAATTTAAAAATATATTTAAATATAACTTAAATAAATTTAAATTATTTTAAAACAATGGTAAAATAAAACTATTTTTAAATTTAAATTTTTTTATTTTTTAATTATTTTAAATATAAAAAATTATGTTAAATTTTTTAAATATAAAAAATGATTTTAAATATAAAAAATGATTTTAAAATAAAAAATATTTTTAAATTTAAACTTTTTTATTTTAAAATTATTTTAAATATAAAAAATTATGTTAAATTATTTTAAATATAAAAAATGATTTTAAAATAAAAAATTTTTAATTTAAATTTTATTTTAAAATTATTTTAAATATAAAAAATTCTTTTATATATAAAAAATGACTAGTGAGATGTTTTAATCCTTGTTTTCTTGTACTAAGCCTTTGAAATACAGTGCTTATTTTAGGTTTACAGTACCTCTCAACCTGGATTAATCACATTTCAGGTGCTCAACAGCTGAATGTGACCAGTACATATCATATAGTGAAGGTCTCAGTGCTCCAGGATCATAAGGTTATTTAATATTTGACTTCCCTAGCAGATGGAAAACTCTCTGAGATCATGGGCCATTTCTGCCCTCATTGGTTCTCAACCATCTGGTACTGGTCTTGGTGCCTTGAAGGTGACCAACAAATGTTAATTGATGCAATACACCATAACCTGTATTCTCAGGAGAGGAACTGTACCTCTGGATTCAGATTCCTTAATTGTGGAACACCTGATCTTCATCTTATCCCTTTTAGCTGCCAAACTCAAAGTCACATTCTCTTCCTTGTATTCTTTGTCAATAACTTTGCTCTCGATGTCTGAAAAGAGAAAGGGGGAGTTCGTATTTGGTCACTCAGAAAGTTGGTCCTGAAGTTGGTTTCTGTGCAAAAAAGGTACACATCCACTGTGGCAAGCAAAGGAAAGAAGAGAAAGTTCAATTCATCACAGGAAAGATCTTGAATCCCTTGATGAATGACCATAGCACTCAACAAATGAGAAACCCAGCTGGAGCATTAGAAGTGAGCTCTCACACCCTAGAGGGTGCATCAGGGAAAGATGGAGTCGAAATCAACAGTGATCATAGACAACAGTCATGATCTTCTCTCTACTCCAAACTTACATGTTTTCTAAAACCAAAAGAAATAGTAGAGGATTGGGGCAAGCCTAGCATAATAAACAAGAGCTCAGGTTTTGCCGTCAGATGGTGGTAACTAGGAGGTCCAGCTCTGCCACACACTAGCTGCCTAAATTTGACCATTGACTTAACATCTCTGGGCCTTGTATTTCTCATCTGTATCATGGCAAGCATTGCATAACCTATCCTATTGGCTCTTTGTGAAAATAAGATGGATAATAGAACCAGAAGTATCCTTGTGAAATATAAGCCAGAGAATACCATACCTGCTCCCAAATTTTCCAATGCCCTTTTTATCTTACTTCAAATAAAATCTTGGCTGGGTACAGTGGTTCAGGCTTGTAATCCTAATACTTTGGGAAGCTAAGCAGGGGGATTGCTTGAGCTCAGGAGTTCAAGATCACCATGGGCAACATAGCAAGATCTCATTTCTACCAAAAATTTTAAAAACTAGTCAAGCATGGTGGTCATCTATCGTATCAGCTACTCAGGAGGCTGAGGCAGGAGGATTGCTCGAGCCTGAGACTGCAAAGCTGCAGTGAGCTATGTTCATACCACTGCACTCCAGCCTGGGTGACAGAGTGAAACCCTGTCTCTAACAGAAGGAAAAAAAAAAAGGAAAAAAGAAACCTCAGGTCCCTACATGTATCTACATTTCCATCTCCCTTCCTTTCTCCTATTGCTCTCATCATCCTCAATGCCACTTCAGCCACACTGGCCACCTCATTACCCCTTGAATTCTCCAGGCATTCCTGTACTTGCTCTTTCTCCAGATATTTACATGGCTCTCCTCCCTGATATCCCTGCCCCAATGAGACTTACCTTAATCACACTATATAAAATAGCAATTCTCTCTAATCCCGACCCTCTCTAACCTCCCTAGCCTGCTGTATTTTTCTCAATAGCACTACCTCTATTTGTATACCAGATGTCTGTTTGTTATCAGACTTAGCTTACTAAAGTATGAGATTCATGAGACTAATTTTGTTCACTACTGATAGGAGTCCACCAAACACTCTATTTCCACCTCTTGGGCTTCCGGGCATTCATTAGGTTGGAACTTCCTAGGTTTATGTGAATGAAACTGGAACAACTACCAGGAGTGGGGTGCTAATGTAAAAGATCTACAGCACCCACTGTTCCCAAGTATTCATCTATCAAGTATGTATTCGTCAGGAAAGGATCAGTCTTGCAGCAGTGACAAACAACCTTAAGCCTTAGTGGATTGAAAAATAACAAGTGTTTATATCTCATTGATGCTTTGTGTCTATTGTAAATTGACTTGAGGCCATGTTCTATGTTATCTTTATTCTGGGACCCAGGCAGATGGAGCAGCTGTAATCTGAAGCACTGCTAATCATATGGGCAGAGGGAAAGAAAGTTATGGAAAGTCTCATACTGGCAACTACTCTATTTCACAATTTATTGGCCTGAACTAGTCCCCAAATCTCACTTAACTGTACAGTAGCCAGGAAGTACAATTCTACCATGGGCTCAGCATGGCAAACAGGAAGTACTTGAACACAGATGATGACTGTCATACTTTAGCTCTGCACATAGCAAGCAATCAGCAAGTATTTGTAGAATAAATTAATGATATGGTCTTAGCACAGTGCCTGGCCTTTGCTAAGTGCTCAGTGAATGGAAAATGTTGTTAATATGATTAGACTTGCTTTCTGTGAGTTCAAGGGTTTTTTTTTATTTTTTGAAATTTCTACTCTTTTTTTAAATTGTACTTTAGGTTCTGGGGTACATATGCAGATCATGCAGGATTGTTGCATAGGTACATATGTGGCAAGGTGGTTTGCTGCCTCCATCCCCCTGTCACCTATATCTGGCATTTCTCACCATGTTATCCTTCCCCAACCTCCCCACCCGCCGTTGTCGCAAGTTCAAGGTTTTTAAACAGTAGAGGAAAGAATGGGTGGGAAAACCCATGGAAAATCCCATTGCCAAAGTCAACTCTCAAAATCATCACCGAGGTGTAACCTTGCAACAAAGGGTATCTTCTACCTAAGTATTCCGTCTGGACAGTCTGAGTGGCATTCTCTGAGGGTCTCAAAAAAGCTGCCAGCGCTGTGCTTTCCACATTCTCCAGGAAGACTGTGGCCAGGGAGGATGTCTGTTTCTTGGTGAAGTTGGTCCATGTGGACATTTGTTCAAGCACAGGAACAAAGCTCTCAGCCATACTCTGCAAGGAAAGACATGTTTGCTCATTCCCTCTCTCTCTCTCTCTCTCTCTCTCTCTCTCTCTCTCTCTCTCTCTCTTTCTCTCTCATTAATGAAATAACAGCTGTCATTTTTGTCATTAGGCTGGTAGACAAGCCAAAGGAGAATTAAAAAGGGCATCCGCTCGGGCTCCTTTTCCTGATTCAAGAAGCTCCAATAGAAATAAAACTTGAGGCCGGGTGTGGTGGCTCACGCCTGTAATCCCAGCACTTTGGGAGACCCAGGTGGGCGAATCACAAGGTCAGGAGTTCGAGACCAGCCTGGCCAAAAGAGTGAAACCCCATCTCTACTAAAAATACAAAAAATATTAGCCAGGAATGGTGGCAGGTGCCTGTAATCCCAGCTACTTGGGAGGCTGAGGCAGGAGAATCACTTGAATCCGGGAGGAGGAGGTTGCAGTGAGCCAAGAACATACCACTGCACTCCAGCCTGGGCAACCATCTCAAAAAATAAATAAATAAATAAACATGGGGTAAGAGGGGCATTTGAGAGATATTTGCCTAAGAGAAACAGGATGCTCTGGGCTTTGTAATCCCTGAAAGGCATGGGTGGGATTCCCTCCCCACTGACATAGCAGAAATATCTCAACTAGAACCAACTCCAGGAAACACAGTAATCAATTCTACGGCAGATGAAATCTCTTCAAATCCTGCCACTCTGATATGTTAAATCTGTTCTTCTTAGCTGGGAAAGTTATTTTATATGCTCAGGAAACTTGGAAAGTTTTAGGCAAACTAAAAATCCTTAGCAGGATTTGTGTTAAATTTAGAAGGTTTTGACATATTTAGCATAATCTAGAAACATCTGTTATGTGAAGAGTTGGGACTGGGCATGGTGGCTCATGCCTGTAATCCCAGTACTTTGGAAAGCCCAGGAGGGTGAATCATCTGAGGTCAGGAGTTCAAGACCAGCCTAGCCAACATCGTGAAACCCCATCTCTACTAAAAATACAAAATATTAGCCAGTCATGGTGGCAGACACCTGTAATCACAGCTACTTGGGAAGCTGAGGCAGGAGAAATGCTTGAACCCAGGAGGGTTGCAGTGAGCCAAGATCATGCCATTGCACTCCAGCCTGGAAAACAGGGCAAAACAGTCTCAAAAAAAATGGGGTGTTAGAAGGAACAATTTGACACATTAGAGAAGCTAACCAATTAACCACATGATTTTATTGCAGAAAGCAGTTTGACTTGTTATTTTAATGTGGACGATTTAAGAGAATGTGGCTGTTTACAAACTGTATTGAATGTCTAAAAAAAAAAATCTGAATCATTTTGATTAATTAGATTTATAAGTCACTCAGGACCCAAGTGACTTTGCCTATTAGATTTGTAAATCCTCTTCACTAGGTACTTCAAATTTGGGCAGAGTGGGGAGGGGAAAATTGGAATATTTATAAACATAGTGTAAAACATTTGAGGAAATTGAACTAAGTTTTAAAATAGGGTTAATCATTTATCAAAGTTTAATCCGAAAACCCTAGGAATGAATGTATACTTTATGAATAAATATATTCATTTAAATTAATAAAATCACAAACAAAAGTGTAATTCTTATTTTCATACCAAAATAACCAGATTTATGAAGAAAATGACAGTATGAATGAGTTCAACTTAAAGCTTAAAAAAGTCTAGGTTTTGGCCAGGCGCCATGGCTCATGGCTGTAATCCCAGCACTTTGGAAGGCAGAGGCGGGCAGGTCACCTGAGGGTGGGAGTTCAAGACTAGCCTGACCAACATGGAGAAACCCCATCTCTACTAAAAATAAAAAATTAGCCAGGCATGGTGACACATGCCTGTAATCCCAGCTACTCAGGAGACTGAGGCAGGAGAATTGCTTGAACCCGGGAGTCAGAGGTTGCAGTAAGCTGAGATCACGCCATTGTACTCCAGCCTGGGTGACAGAGCAAGACTCCGACTCAAAAAAAAAAAAAAAAAAAAAATACAACTGTAATAACCTAGCAACTCCTAGATATTTATGCTGGAGAAAGTCAAATTTATGCTCACACACACACAAAACTCTATATGGATGTTTGTTTATAACAGCTCTATTGGACAAGTACGGTGGCTCACGCCTATAATCCCAGTACTTTGGGAGGCCAAGGCGGGCAGATCACCTGAGGTCGAAAGTTCGAGACCATCCTGACCAATATGGAGAAACCCCGTCTCTACTAAAAACACAAAACTTAGCCAGGCATGGTGGTACATGCCTGTAATCCCAGCTACCCAGGAAGCTGAGGCAGGGGTATCATTTGAACCTGAGAGGCAGAGGTTGTGGTGAGCCGAAATCGCGGCCATTGCACTCCAGCCTGGGCAACAAGAGCGAAATTCTGCTCAAAAAAAAATTTTTTTTTAAATATTAGCTCTATTGATAATCTCTAAAATACTGGAAACAATCCAAAGGTATTTCAAAGATGAATGGATAAACAAATGGTGATACAGTCATAAAATGGAATATTACTGAGTAATGAAAAAGGAATGAAGCATTGACCCATGCTACTACGTGGATGAACCCGGAGGACATCATGCTCAGTGGCAGAACTCAGACACAAAAGGACAAATCCTGTATGACCTCACTCCTAGACGGTTCCTAGAGTCATCAGATTCTCAGAGACAGAAAGTAGGATGGTGGGAGCCAGGGCCTAGAGAGGGGGATGGGAAGTGAGTGTTTCAGGGCAACAGAGTTTTTTGGGGAAGGATGAGAAAGTTCTCAAGATGGATGGTGGTGATGGTTATATACCAACGAGAATGTCCTGAATCTCATTAACAATAAAAAGAAAGAAGGAGGAAGAGGAGGAAGAAATGGCACTCTATACATACACACTATCCAGGCATCACAAATGCATTATGCTGAGTGAAAGAAGCCAGTCTCAACAGAGCACATACTATGTGATTTCATTTATGTAACATTCTTCAAAAGACAAAACTCCAGTGACAGAGACTAGGTCAGGGATGTGCAGAAGTTAGGGGTGGAAGGAGTATCTGACTATAAGGGAGAAGCCAAAGGGAATTTTTGAAGATCATTAAACCGTTTTGCATCCTAATTATAGTGGTAGTTCCACAAATCTATTCAGGTGAGAAAACTCATCAAACTATACAAGGAAAAGGATAATTTTACTGTATACTAATTTTTCAAATTTTACAGCTATAAAAATTAAATATTAATTCACAATCCATTAATTATAAAGAGATTTTTTTTTTTTTTTGAGACAGAGTCTCACTCTGTCACCCAGGCTGGAGTGCAGTGGTACTATCTTAGCTCACTGCAACCTCCACCTCCCAGGTTCAAGCAATTCTCCTGCCTCAGCCTCCCAAATAGCTGGTACTATGGGAGCCTGCCGCCATGCCTGGCTAATTTTCATATTTTTAGTAGAGACAGGGTTTTATCATGTTGGTTAGGCTGGTCTTGAACTCTTGACCTCAAGTTATCTACCCACTTCAACCTTTCAAAGTGCTGGGATTACCTGTGTGAGTCACCACACCTGGCCATAAAGATGTCTTTCTGCACCCAGAGTGTGCCCAGGATATTTGAAACTCAAAACACAATTTAAAAGACTCAGTCATTACCTTCATGGAAACTACAGTTGTTTTATTTTCACACACGTTGTCCAGAATGTCGAACATGTCATTTATCAGTGCACAAAACGAGACCTGTGCCCCAGAAAAAAAAAGGGGGGGGCATTTGTGAGCATGGATCCATCTATTCCCCCAAGCATGTAATCTACAAATTAGCCCATAAAGCCCTATCCTATGAGGTGGTCCTGAATTCCTGAGTCTCTATAATTCTCATGGAAATAAAAATTCATTGTTTGATCAGAATTAGAATCACATCACCTTTTCCTTCCATGAATAAAAAAAGCAAACATAAACAAATAGCAAAACTACTTAGTGATATTAAAAGAAGAGGAAATGTATGAACTAACAGCGGTCCATATGGAATATTATTCAGCCATGAAAATGAATGGAGTTCTCTGATATGTACTACAGCATGAATGAATCTTGAAAATATCATGCTAAGTGAAAGAAGCCAGACATAAAGGAGCAAATATTGCATGATTCCATTTCTAGGAAATGCCAAGAATACACAAATCCTTGGAGACAGAAAGCTGATCAGTGTTTACTATGGGCTAGTGGTGGAACAGAATGGGGAGTGACTGCTTAATGACAAAAATATTCTGGAACTAGGCTGAGCACGGTGGCTCACGCCTGTAATCCCAGCACTTTGGGAGGCCGAGGCAGGTGGATCACCTGAGGTCAGGAGTTCAAGACCAGCCTGGCCAACATGGCAAAACCCCATCTCTACCAAAAACACAAAAATTAGCCAGGAATGGTGGTGGGCGCCTGTAGTCCCAGATACTCGGGAGACAGGTAGGAAGAATTTCTTGAACCCAGGAGGCAGAGGTTGAAGTAAGCCAAGATTACACCATTGCACTCCAGCCTGGGTGACAGAGCAAGACTCCAACTCAAAAAAAAAAAAAAAAAAAAAAAAAAAAAAAATTCTAGAACTAGATTGAGGTGATGATTGCATAGCATTGTGAATGACCAAATGCCACTGAATTGTCCACTTTAAAATAGTTAAAGTAGTGAGTTTTATGTTATGTGTACCTCACCACAATTTAAAAAGAAAAACAGTGGTCCAAGGCATGTGGGAATCCCAAAGCTATAATTTAGACGCTCATACTTAGAACAGTGACATGAGTTTCTAAAGAAGTCATGGAGTCTTTACTCATTGCAATGACTTCCTTAGACAGTCGGGATATCCAAATTCCTTTTTGCGTGGCTGGCTGTGTAACACCCCAGCACCACCGTCACTCAGTTGCAGCACCAACACTTTCACTGGTGGTAAAGTCAACATATTCTCTTATTCTTTTATTAAGAGAATCCTCAAGTTTTAGACAGGCATACATCCTCTCTTCCCAGCTTCCCTTGCAGCTAAGTGTGACCATGTGACTAATTTCTACCCAATCAGGTGCAAGCAGAAGTGGTACTGGGTCATACACTTAAAGAGAAGAATTGTGCTTTTTACTTCCTCCTCTCCCCTTCTCACAAGCTGGAATGCAGATGTGAGGGCAGGAGCTGGAGCAGCCATCTTGAACCACAAAGTGGGAGTCCTGTGTTGTTGCTGGCAGAACGTAATGGAGCCATCGTATGTGCTCTGCATAGCTTACACTCAGATGGTTACAGAGGAGAAAAATAAACTGGCTGTCTGGTTTTGGCCACTATCACTTTTGCCTTTGTTAGAACTGCAAAAACAACATTCTACCTAAATGGCTTCTAGGAAAACCTCAAAAACTAGGAACCTTTAAAAATACTTGCATATTCAGGTTTCATTGTGGTTCCCTCTTGGCATTGCTGGGCCTGCTCATTATTGGATATCATATCTTCCTTACATTTGAAGGGCACCCCTAGGAAGAAAACAACAGCAGACAAACCAAACTTCAACCTCAGCAAAATATGATGAAAATTCAAGTCTGGTTCCATCTCCTCCCCCCCACCCCCACTTAAAATCCATCCATTGCCATAATGCACAAGGGCGAAAACAAACCAACCACAACGACACACTATAACGCAAAGGACATGTTGACTACAACGTAATTTTCTAATTTGTAATTACATGTTAACTACAACACACAATTTTCTAATTTGCTCTATTTCATTCAATATCATCCCTCTTAGAGGCAATCATGGATATGACTATAGATGTATGTCTTTTATATGTATGACGTCTCACTCAATAGTATGCCCCTGCACAGCTCACATTCAAAGAGGCATGATATTGAGTGAAACAAATTAGAGAAGTCACACATATAAAAGACATACATCTATATGTAAATATCATATACATATAGAAATATGATATTTTAATAAAAAATGGTATGATACCATTTTTACAAAGCTTCAAAACAAGCACTACTAGGCAGATAGTGTTTAGGGGTACGTACCAGGGGAAAATATTCTTTTAACTACGGAAATAACAAACACCAAATCCTAAGTGTTTCTCTGAGGAGGACACAAGGAGACAGAGTGGAGAAGGAATGTAGAGAACCAATGGCATTGATGATCTTATCTTGATTATATTGGGAAGTACATCAGATCTACTCATTTGCTTGTTATACTTCATTGCCTCCAATAAGTTACACATATTTGTCATGTATTAAATAATTCATAATTTAATGGTTTTAAAACTTTCATGGTTCCCCATTGTTCCTGGGCGGGGGGTGGGGGGTGGGGGTGGGGAAGGACTCTGAAATTCTTTTTTTAAAGGCAGGGTCTCACTCTGTCACCAGGCTGAAGCGCAGTAGAATGATCATAGCTCACTGCAGCCTCGATCCCCTAGGCTAAAGCAGTCCTCCCACATCAGCCTCCTGAGTAGCTAGGACTACAAGCATATACTGCTACACCTGGCTAATTTTTTATCATGATTTTTTTGTAGAGACAGGATCTTGCAATGTTGCCTAGGCTGGTCTTGAATTCCTGGCCTCAAGTGATCCTCTCACCTTAGCCTCCCAAAGTGCTGTTTATAGCTATGTCACTGCATCCAGCCCTTCCAAAATTCCTCACAAGGCACCAAGACCCAGCAGAATCTGACCCCTGTCTACTTCATCAGATATATTGAATGCCACTTCCCCTTGTCCTCATTTGGTTTGAGCCTCAGGACCTTTGCATCTGCTATAACCCAGAACAGCATGATCTCTATTCTTCCTCTAGAGAAGTCCTACTCCTCCTTCAAGTTTTTGCTTAAATGTTGTTTGCTTGGAGCATAATCAATATCCTATTAGTCACTCCAAAGCACACTGTGATTTTTTGTTTGTTTGTTTCATTCATAGTTATGATTAAATAATTGTGTGTGTGCTTTCTGGCTCCTTGTCTAGACTGTAAGCTACACAAGGACAAGAAGCATGCTCATTATACCCAGGACCGAATCTTCAGCACCTATTGCAGGGGTCTGTTAAACTAACTAACTAATTAATAGGCGCTCCAGAAATCATTTCAAAGAGTAAATTAACAAAAGAGTAAATTAATGGAGAAAAAAAAAGAAACAGAATATGTGGATGAGGTAACAGTAAGAGGTTGAGTAGAGAGAGAATTTTCCAACCAAAGCCAGACACAGATTCCATTGCCAAGATATACAAAGAGATGATTACTTTGACAGCTGAAGTTGCCATCTTTCTGGGAGCCTTCTGAATTGGGACGAAAGCCTGCAATGCAGCCACAGTTGTATGAGCCCAGGGCATTGGTGCAGACAGAATTTGGACCACATGTTGATGGATCTTGGAGGCACTCATCAACATCTGCAAAGAACTGGAGAATATCAAGAAACCCAGAAGAGCAAAGAGAAATGTCTTTTCTGGACTGTCCAGCAAACCCTCTGCTCACCTCTGCATTCCACTTCTCGGTCTGTGAAATTCAGCTGTCCATTGCTTGGTGCAAAGCCAGGGTGGCAGGTGCAAAAGTAGCTCCCAGGAGTGTTGGTGCATGTTGAATTGATGGGGCACATTTCAATGCATTCATCAATATCTGTGGGGTACAGAATGGGTGTGGAGCCAGGTTGGCCAAATAATCCAACAAAATCATGCTTCTTCCCTTTCCAAAATAAGGAGTCATGTTTCACTAGAAAATAGCATTCCAGCCAGGGACTACATTTCCCAGAACCCTCTCCATGTAGGTGAGGTCATGTGACTACTTTTCATTCATGGACTATGAGAGCCATGAAATATGTCACTTCAGGGCCAGGGTTGTCAAGAAGTGGGTGTAACTTCTCTCTCTCTGTTCCTTCCTTCCTTCTTTCTCTCTTCCTTTCTTTCTCTTTCTTTTTCCTTTCTTTCTTTCCTTCTTTCCCCTTCCTTCCTTATCTTTTCTTTCTCTTCCTTTCTCTTTTTTTCCTTCCTTCCTTTCTTTTTTTCCTCTTTCTTTCCTTCCTTCCTTCCTTTCTTCCTCCCTCCCTCTCTCTCTTTCTTTCTTCTTTCTTTCTTTCCTCCTTTCCCTCTTTCCCCCTTTCCCCCTTTCTCTCTTTCTTTCTTTGACAGAGTCTTGCTCTATTGCCCAGGCTGCAGTGCAGTGGCACAGTCTCAGCTCACTGCAACCTCCACCTCCTGGGTTCAAGTGATTCTACTGCCTCAGCTTCCAGAGTAGCTGGGATTACAGGTGTGAACCACCACACCTAGCTAATTTTTGTATTTTTAGTAGAGAAGGGATTTCACCATGTTGGTCAGGCTGGTCTCAAACTCCTGACTTGTGATCTGCCCACCCCAGCTTCCCAAAGTGCTGAGATCACAAATGTGAGCCACTGCACCTGGCCCTCTCCTCCCCCTTTCACCTCAACTGGCTAAAACCAGGAACTCCACGGTTCTAAAGAATGGAAGAACCAAAAGATGGAGAGAGACTGAATTCCTTTATCACCATGTCAAGAAAAGCTGCCCACTGGCCAAGTATATCCATATTGAATTGTTATGAAAGTGATAAATTTCTATTATGTTAAGCTAGTAATAAGGTAGGAAGCAGGAGTCAACTCCAGAGGAGGGACTCAGACACTGGACCAAATTGAGGACTAGCTAAAACAAGGACAGAGTGGAAGCAGCCTTCCGTAAGACATGCCCCACCAGTGTGCCATGTCGGTCTACCATTGCCCTGGCAACATTGGGGAGTGACTGCCCCTTTCTATGGCAATGACCTGATGACCCAAAAGTTACTACCCCTTCCCTAGAAATGTCTACATAAATCACCCGTTAATCTGTATATTATTAAAAGTAGGTATAAGTATGATTGCAAAACTACCCTGAGCTCTGCTCTCTGCCTCTGAGGTAGTCCTGCTCTGTGGGAGCAGTCACAGAGCTGTAACACTGCCAGAGCTGTAACACTGCCTCTTCAATAAAGCTGTTTTCTTCTACCTCTGGCTTGCCCTTGAAATCTTTCCTGGGCAAAGCCAAGAACCCTTGTGGGCTAAATCCCACTTTGGGGCTTGCCTGTCCAGAATCAGTAATACTCAACCGGGGGTGATTTGTCCTTCCAGGGAACAGGGTACAATATCTAAAGACATTTTTGGTTGACATAGCATGGGGTGGAAAGAGTGTTACTGGGATCTAGTTGGTGAAAGCCAAAGATACTACCAGACATTCTGCATGGCACAGAACAACTCCTCACAACAAAAAAAATTATATAGCCCAATATATTTCTCATCCTCAGCACCTCAATGGCACTGAGGGTGAGAAATCCACACTCAACTAATATAGGATGATGCCAGGCTACTATGCCAATATGGGGCTAGCTCTTCCTCTGAGGGTTTCTGACCACAAAGGATATATGGAATGGAATGTTATGAGAAAAAAATAATTAGGAAAGAGGCAAAGACAAAAGCTCTTCTATTCCTATGTCAACTCACAAAACATGAGAAATAAACAACCTTCTGCAGTGACTCATGTCAGTCTAAGGTACAGGGAATTGGGCAGTACTATGGAGGATTGGGATGGAAAGTCTTTGTGTTATGAATGTTGGTTAATTTGAAGGCCTTGAAGGACACAGAATGATCCATGATTGGAAGGTAAGGGGAAATAGCTTTTGTGCTGGTATCATGGAAAATGTCACTAACCAAGCAGTGAGCTTCTTTTAGTGGCAGTGAGTGCCCCACTTCCAGAAATATTTCAGCATGAACTAGGTGAGTACTTTTCACAGAGTACGTGATTGGGACTTATACTTTGCATATGGAGTTGGGTTAGGTGCATGGTTTTCAAAACGTTTTGGCCCAAGAAGCCTTCCTTCAGGTGAAGTGAAACCTGAATAGGTAAGACAATTAAAAGAGGGTATAATTTGCTAGAAAAGAAGATGGGCATCCATGGCCTTGCCTGCCTAGCTTTTCTCTTGGCCTTGACGGGGATCTTGAATGGGTTCCTAGGCCCCTGGAGCTATGTTAATTTATTTGTAAGATTCCTTTCAACTTTACTTCTCTGTTATTCTGCTTCTAACAATATCAGAAGCTAGCAAATATCAGCAAATAATAAGAAACACAATATTTTAATAAAAAGAAGCATGCATTTTCCCTGGAGGGGTTGAAGAATATAAAATGCACTCTGTAGTATGGTAGGTACTCCAACAATGACCTCCATCAATTCTTCAGATTTCTCTGTGCACATAGTGCTCCTTTGGTGAGATGGGGAATTTATTCTCCTTCCTTGGGATCTCTGTGGGCCCTGTGACTATGACCAATACCATGCGGTAGAAGTCATGGAACTTCTCAAGCCCAGACCATAAAAGGAATGGCCATATCTGTTTTCTTTCTCTTGAAACTGTGTTTTTTGGAAACCAACTGCCATGCTGTAAGGAATCCCAAGCAGCCATGAGGGAAGGCCCATGAGGAAATCTTAGGGTCCCAGCTAAGGTCCCAACCAAAGACCAGCATCAACTACCAGCCAGTGTAAGCAAGACCATTTTGGATATACGATATACCAGCTTTCCTAGTACCCCATCTGACCTACATGAAACAAAAGAATCATGTGTTCAACATATAGAATCATGAAAAAGAACAAATGGTCATTGTTGTAAGTTAGTACATTTCAGAATAGTTTGATATCTGTTGAGAAATCCTCAGCATGGCTAGGAGAATTACCTGTACATCCAAAAGCCTCTGGATCCTGAAGGGTATGAGAATCAGGCAAAAAATATCCGGGCAGGCAGGAGCAATTGTATTCTCCTGGGATGTTGGTGCAGACAGAATTGGGACCACAAAGATTTGAGTTCCTGGAACATTCATCCACATCTAAGCAGAAAACCAGTCTAAGTCAAAAGAATGAAGGAGACTGAGGCTACAAGAGCTCAGAGCCTCACCACTAACTGAAAGCAATGTATTTCCCTGACTAGGCTCTCACCTTCATAAACACATTTTCATCACTCAAAGAGCAACCATTTAGAGGCATATCCATGGTGTATGAAAATTTTCTAATAAGGCTTCCCACTGCTCAGGATAAAATCCAAAATCCTCATTAGCTATACAAGGCCCTGACAACCCAGTTCCAACTAAGCTGAACTACCTCTACCTCATCTCTTGCTTTGAATTCCTTTGTGACTTTATGATCCAGATGCATAGTTTACCTTTTTCTTTTTTAACAGACAGCATCTCATTCTGTTGGCCAGACTGCAGTTCAATGGCACCATCATAGTTCACTGCAGCCTCAAACTCCTGAGCTCAAGTGATCCTCTCACCAAGTAGCTGGGACTACAGGCATGTGCCACCATGCCCAGCACCCAGCCTCAAGTGATCCTCCTACCTCAGCCTTCCAAGTAGTGGGAGATAAAGATGCATGCCCCACACCTAGCTAGTTTGTTTTTGCACAGACAGGGTCTCAACATGCTGCCCAGGTTGATCTCAAACTCCTTGTCTCAATCCATTTTCCTTCTTCAGCTTCCTAGAGTGTAAACGCATAGATGCCCTTTATTCCACAAAGGCTCATTGTCTCTCTTTTCTGTTGCCTCAGCCTTGAACTTGC